TGATTGATTGATCATTTCAAATGTGTAGAGAATCATATTCTTATATTCAGTCATATAAGAAGGGACTATTCACAACTAAATTTGTTGTGAATAGACCTAAAACTTGTCACATTGATATTTGTACATGGTAGTGAGACAGAGAGGTACAAATACATTAGCTGATTTATGACAAGCACTGGCATGAGTAATACGATAACCCGCTCAGTCATTTGAGAATAGAACATAAGCTGGTGGTCGTATATATTACTTGAATCTTTTAAAAACTTACACCATGTCACTGTGTTGAGATGTTTTGATGATGAGATTAGTATTGATTTAAAGGTGAATTTCATCACAGATGGGGATATCAGTACTAATTATCCCAATCAAAATATAATCGCGTGATCATTAGAGATTTGTTTCAAGATGAGTTCTTCAGGCTGTTTGTTGTGAGAAATCACTTCCAATGACAGTCAAACATTATCGGTAGTCAATTAGCTATCATCCATATTACTGTCACACTCTGTCACAGCGATTAAATAATGCTAGAAATGTAGTAGTTTGCATGTTGAACAATCGTAACGAGACCTGAGAGTGTTAAAGTCCTTCCTATCAGTTTTGCTGAAATGTTCCATACTCTAGATTCAACTAGATTCATCAGGTTCATAAATGATATCGCCTACAATGCCGAAGGTCCCGGGTTCGAATCCTGCGGGGTGCAGGAGTCGTGGATGCGCATTGCCACCGATGAGTCCCATACCAGGACGAAACGGCCGTCCAGTGCTTCCAGGTTCTTAATGGTGGTCTAAGAATGATTGATTGATGATTTCAAATGTGTAAAAAAGCATTTCGCTAAAAAAATTTCTTAAACTCTTCACTAGTTTGTATACACACTAGTCACTTACAGTATGTTATTAATCAGAGCGAGAATTAAAGAAAGATTTACAGTTAAGTAAACAGGATTATATATATATTCATTCCCTTTTTAAATTTCATCCTTTAATATATTCTTTTGGTGAACTATTTCATTTATTTCTAAAATCTACCGCGTACCACCACCCATGAATAGCGCGGTAAGTTGATTATAATTTCATAGCATACATCTATCTACGCAGTACTAGTTTTTTTCTTAAAGGAATCTTATATAATGTGAATGATTGAACTTTGTCGTTTCTACTGGAATTAATCAAAAGACGATGGACAAAAATAGTAGACTTTTTCTTATTTTAATGTTATGATTGCGATTTCATTCTCTAGATATCTGATTCATTCATCACTGTAGTACAGATTTACAAAGTTACCTCAAAATTGTAACTAGTTACCAAAATGTAAAGGTTTGTTAAGATTTTGAAGAAAAGTTTATATTTTTATAGAAGGAAAGTACACTAATAATAATAATAGTAATAATCACAATGTTTTATGTTCTATTGAACTAACCTTTAACAAATTCTACTTGATCATTTTATGGTATTTGAATTAATTATTGATACTCTAGTACATTATTTTGTCCCTGGTTCGACTCCAGCACGTGGGGTCATCCCTCTGAGTTACAGGAGAATAAGAAGTGATCTGATTATGGCGTACGCCAAATCATCCCAACATGAGCATCTCACCGACGCGTCACCACCACCACTCCCCCAGAGGCAATCCTCGAAAAATTGCGCAGCAAACAGCGAATAATCAGGTTCGTGTACACTTTTTTTCCATTAAGAGTCGTAGCAACTTGGAATGCTTTCCCAGCGGAAGTGACCATAGCCCCCTCAGTGGACAGCTTTAAGAAGACACTTGATAGACACGTACTCACATGCGGATTATCATCTCCCTCTTGGACAAGCGTTGTCTGATGAAATTTGTCTTGAGACCTATTAGTTGTTATTATTGCCATCTCCTTAGATCACTTACTTAATCTATCTCTCTTGTAATATCTGCTTCCTTTCCCTTGCTTATACTTCGATTCTCTCTCACAATTAATAAACTAAATTATCTATATATATTACTTAGTTCTGAAATCCTCTTATGGGCATTGGAATTTTCTCCTTATTATTTTCTATATTGAGACTAACTGATAGCTGCTGGTATCCAGAAACCCTACTTCCCTGAAACAAACGTTTTTTATTCAAATCACGGGACATAAAAACTCACAAACAGCTGCCAATTGACTAGAATTAGACAGTCGAGCGGCTAGACCCCCATTCATTCGACACTAATAATAATGATAATAATAATAATAATCACAATGTTTTATACTCTATTGAACTAACCTTTAACAAATTCTACATGATCATTTTATGGTATTTGTATTAATTATTGATACTCTAGTACATTATTCCGC